CCCTTCTCCCCCCGAGCCAGCCTCCACTTTCCATCCTGCTCCACCGCACACGCCGGGCCACGCCGGCGCCCACTCAGACGAGAGACACCACACAGCAGTCACAGCGCTGCTTTAAAACAAACCAGATGGCGCCACGCTCCCGCCTGAAGTCTCTGGGTTCCTTCTCCGTGCTACTGTCGGAATAACCCGGTCGCCTTCTCCCTCCCCATATTTGACGCCCTCCACCCCAGAGCAACGAGATCACTGGCAGCCCCGCGACGGGCTCTGCTCTGCCCTCTCACCGCCGGCTTTGCGCCTGGACGCCCTCCCCTGCCCCCCTTTCCCCACCTTGCACCCCCTTCGCTGGCCGCTGCGGGTCTAACTTCCTGAGAAAGCTGTGTCTGAGTCCCGACTCTGCGCTGGGAGCTGTCCACGTGCTCCTGTTACAGGGCCCTTCCGTGTCCCCTATGAGACCAGGAGTAGGAGGCGTTCCTGCCTCGGAGCTCCTGGCGCTGGCTTCCTTCTTAGCCACAGCACGTTATTTATCTTTTGGTGGATTTGAGGACTCCTCTGCCAAATGTCAGCCCCTTCAGAGCAGGGACGGTGTAGTGTTCGCTGTATCTGGGCAGCGCCAGGCAAGGGAATTGTGACATGAGGGAGCCCCCAGGAAGATGCTGTGAACTCCGATGGATATGAAGAGATGGAGGGAGGTTTGAACCAAGCCTGGAAGAGTTCAGTGAGAGGGCAGGCCAGTGCCTCTGCTACGGTGAAGAGATTGCAAGAGGTGGCGTGTCATGAAACAGCCAGTAGTAGGTGGCCCGGAGGAGAGCGCGGGCTGGGCCAGGGCCGGCCCCCCAGAGGAGGTAAGCGACCTGTCCAGGTGACAGGTTGTCAGACTGTGCTCATCCATTTTTGTGAGAGAGTAGAAGGGACACAGAATATAGACATCTAATTACATCAGCTTTACTTTTTTTATTTTTTCTGCCCACCCTAGAGATGCCCCTTTGCAGGCAGTATGTAAGGCAGTGCCCACGACAGTCTGGAAAATTAACCGACAGGTTCTAAAGAATGAGAGTGTGTTCCTGTGGCCAGTTGGCACTTGGCTGGTCCTCCACCCTAAGTGCTCTGGCCTCGTTTTCATCATTGGTGTGCACAGAGTAGATTCGCATCACTTCAGTTGCCCTCATCCTCTCTTGCAGAATTACCCTCTTTACATCCGCAGTGTCCCCACGGAGAATGAGCTGAAGTTCCACTACATGGTGCACATGTCCCTGGACGTGGTGGATGAGAAGATCTCTGCAATGGGGAAGGCCCTGGTGGACCAGAGGGAGCTTTACCTGGGCCTGCTGTACCCCACGGAGGACTACAAGGTGTATCCTTCACAGCCAGCGGAGGCCTGTCAGTGGGCTCCTCCCAGTGGGCTCCTCCCCACGGGGCTGGAATCCAGGGATTCCGCCTGAAGTTGTGTGATGTCCTGTAGGATCAGATAACCTTGAAAGGCATTTTGTACCATCACTTGAAAAGAAAAAAGTGAGGGCTTTTAGCCCAGGGGGAATTAGGGCTGCTTGAGGCTAATTGAGATTTTGCGCATTTTTTCTTTAATTAGGAGGATAATGTGGGAAAAGCCAGGCTTGAATTACCTAGAGCAGTGGTTCTCAACCTTGGCTGCACATTAGAATCACCTGGGAATCTTATTAAAATCCTGATTTCTGGGCCTCATCCTCCGGAAATTCTGTTTCTTTGTTACTAATGTTGCGGCCTCACCCCATAACAAAGAAACAGAATTTCCGGAGGATGAGGCCCAGAAATCAGGATTTTAAAAAGATTCCCAGGTGATTCTAATGTGCAGCCAAGGTTGAGATCCACTGACCTAGAGAATTGTGACTTTGCAAGGTTTATAGAAGAGCTGGGGAGCTCCTACTTTATGCCTGCAAGTTTCTTAGTGGGGCCACCATTTCTGAGCAAGGAATGATCGGTTCACTCATTTCATTGTCAGGTGCAGCCCCACAACTCACTGTAAAATCTTGACCACTCCCTTGGGGCAGATGGCTTGAAACCCACGGAGTTCAAAGATGTTCCCACAAGCAGTAATGTAGTTTGCCCACAGTGATGCTTGCGGGGGAGCCAGTGTTCTATGAGATGAAGTGGCCTTTAGAGGTATAGACACTGCAGGCAGGATTTGTCCTTTGTGAAATCTCTAGTTTATCAGTTAATACTACCAAGCTAAGCATTGATTCATAAAGGGCAGGACCTGGGCAGGACAGCCTTGGAGTTTGAATCAGGGTGGGGTTTAGCTGCCTGCCCTTTGCTTCTCTAGTAAACGCCAGAAGCTGCCCCAAGGAGGTGTCCAGTCACGCCCAGCAAGACAGGCCCAGCCTGGGGCATTTCCTGTGATGCAAGGTTTGCCATGTTTCTCCAAAGTGGCTTTGGAGTCGGGCGTGCACAGATGGCCTTCTGCTTTCACACTCTCAAGTGAGGCTGTTTCATGTTGTCACAGAGTCCCTGTGTTGACAGCTTGTTCCCTAACCAGCTGTGCAGATACGGCTACGTGACCAATTCCAAGGTGAAGTTTGTTATGGTGGTGGATTCTTCCAACACAGCACTTCGTGATAATGAGATTCGCAGTGTAAGTGCAGGGGGTCTGTAGGCTGTGCCTGGGGCTGTTTGTTTTCCCTTTGTTTAAAAACGTTGAGAGGCAAAAAACATGGCAGGAATCCTGTGTACATGTGAATTAAAAATATTGGTTCTTATTGCAGATGTTCCGGAAGCTGCACAATTCCTACACTGATGTGATGTGTAACCCCTTCTATAACCCAGGGGACCGCATTCAGTCCAGGTGGGCCTACTATCATGTTTGCTACCTTCCTTTGTAGGCCCTTCCTTAAAAGGCAATGATGTTGAAAGTGAGGGAGGGAAAGGTCTTTTTAAGCAATGGACACTGTTCTCCTAAGGCAGCAATTCGGAAGCAGCAGAACTCTATTTTTCCAAGCAGACTCTCACCCATATCACCAACATATAAAACAGATGGGACTTGGGGGACAGAGCTCGCCTATTTGGTTTCCCATGTGCACCTAATAGGTACTGGGGCACCATTGCAGAACCCAGTGAGGGCTCAGGCATATGGACAGGAGCCTTCTGGGAAAACATCCTCCTGTTAATGCCTAATTTTGTCTTTGATATTGAACTTGAATGGTGAGGAAATTGGATTGCAGATATCTTCAAATAGCTTCAAATAGTCTTTTAATTTTGGAATGTCATGAAGTTGCTTCGGAAAGAAGGATTCACACACTCCAAGCCTGCTCCTGGGAATTCCATACATTTCTAGACACGCTTCCCAAGGGGCTTCTTGCAGCCCATAGGTGTGAGGGCACTACAGTGACCTGAGCCAGGCCCTTCCTCTGGTGCCTGTGATACTGTGTTTTGGGTCATCTTGGGCCCCAGAGGGGAGAAGCTAGTGCTGTTATGTAGAACCTGTGTCTCCTGGGCTGTTCAGAGCACTGTAGCCCTGCACGCCCACACTGCAGCTCCTCCACCCTGTCTGGGAATCCAGCAGGCAGGACCTCGGGGAAACCTGGAGGGAAGTGGGAGGCAGGAATTTAGATTCTCGTTGCCAAGTATGGCAGGACACACGTCCTGGTCTCTCAGCTAAGTTCACTCATCTGGATGTTAAAGACTGACTCCCAGAGAGGCGTGGGGTTCAGGCAGTGCCACAGAGCCTGCCTCTGGGCAGGGGTAGAGGGCCAGGTCTCTTCTCAATTGCACTGTTTCTCTTTGCAGGGCCTTCGATAGCATGGTGACATCTATGATGATACAGGTCTGTTGAGTGAGAAGATTGCTGCCTGTTGATTGAAGAGAAGTGTTTTGTACATAACTGTGTTGTGTAGATGTGTATTTATTATCATTTACCCCACATGGATGCAAGGCCAGGTGGGGTGCATGTCAACTAAAGGTTTTGTGACATCAGATTTGGTGTTTTCCTTCTGCCGACGGTTTAACTAGAGAGAGTTTAATGCAGGACTTTTCAGGGATGGGGCAGACAGAGGTCAGGGACAAGATAGCAGGGAGCCGTTGTCCCCACAGGCACCACGGGGCATTGGGAGCTGGTTGGTAGGAGCCCACCGAGCTTGGAGCCCTGGAGAGGCATTGGCCATGGGGCAGCCTCTCTGTCCCATCAGCTGCTCTTGTGGCGCCCTCCAGTGGCTGACCAGGTGGGGTGCTGTATAAGGCCTCCGTGGCCGGATTTAGAACTTCCTCCACAGGGAGAAGGTCTCTTTCTGGTCTTGCATCAGCCTGATGTCTGGACTTGGCCCAACTTTGGGAGGCAGCTGTTACGAGATCTAGGCCACTTCGTCTAACTGCAGCATCTCACCTGTGGCTGTTGCTTTCTGAGCACGAAGGAGCCTCTTCCATCTGTTAGTGCGCAGTGTTTCTAGTGGCTTGAGGGCTGGATGGGGGCTCTGAGTCCCCTGCTGCACCTCAGGCTCGAGGGCACACTGCCTGCGGGGGGAGGGGGGTTACATTTGAGGAGGAGCTGATATAATTAGATGTCCACATTCTGTGTCCCCAGAGGCTTGCTCAGCCAAGTCCAGAGGACAGTCCTAACAGTTGACTGTGGCTGACGTGTCAGCCCTTCTGGGGTCAGGCACCCAGATTCTTTGCCCTTTTTGTGTCCTGTGAAGTAGGAGAGGTGACAGGGACCTGCTGAGTCTGAGCCCCACCCGCACAGTCTGCCCCAAGTTGTATTCAGCGCACACAGCTGTTGGCTAGCTTCCTTGAGTCAGCGCCCCAAGACAGACGTGAGTCCTTCCCTCCCGCCCTCAGTCACTGGGGAGAGGGTCTCTGACCAGGCGGAAGGCGGCTCAGATCCCTGGGGGAATGGGCTGCACATTGGTGAGCCTAGGGCTGGAACTGGGAGATGAACTTTTCTACGCACCCTTTTGGATTTCCTTCCCTTCTAACAAGCACAGGATTACTTTTTTTAAAAAATATATTTTATTGATTTTCTACAGAGAGGAAGGGAGAGGGATAGAGAGTTAGAAACATCGATGAGAGAGAAACATCGATCAGCTGCCTCCTGCACACTCCCCACTGGGGATGTGCCCGCAACCCAGGTACATGCCCTTAACTGGAATCGAACCTGGGACCCTTCAGTCTGCAGGCCGACGCTCTATCCACTGAGCCAAACCCGTTAGGGCCAGGATTACTTTTTAAGTTACAGAAATAAAAACAACAGCAGCTAGAAATGTGTGTTAAAAACATGTCCCAGTTCCCCTCTCCTGCCTCACTGCTGGTGGAAGTGGGAAACCTAGAGTAGGGCTGAGAAGCACCAAACAGGCGTTGGTTGCAATGCCAGTGGACCGCTGGCCCCACTCACAGGATTTCTTCCCTGCAGTCCGTGGTTGAGGTTTTGATAGTGATCTTTTCTGCCTGAGCAGTGGCTCTGACAGGGATTGCAAGTTGCCGACCCAGTATCCATTCTTCCTTGCTTCCTTACTCACATCCCCAGTGTTATTGAGGACCATTGACTAGACAAAAGATATTTCCTACCTTTCATAGCACGCAAGGATAGGTCGTTTTTATGGCATGTAAGTGAATGATGTTGGGAGAGACTTTCAGGAAAGATATTTCAAAGGGGGTTCACATGATAGATGGAGTCCTTTGTCATCTTCTCCCTTCTTCCTGCCTAAAACTTGAATGTGATGGCTGGAGCTCATCCCCTAAGGACAGGGAGCAAAAAGCTAGCAGGAGCCTGGGTCTTTGCTGACATACCAGCTCTGAGCTACTTGCATTCAGCAATTTTTTATGTAAAAAAGAAAAGAAAAGAAAAAAGATAAATCCTTGTTGAGGCCATTGCTATTTGGGTTTTTCTGTATTTATAGCCAACCAACTTGTAAATGCTTTCTACATTAGGGAGTTTTCACACACATTGTTAGGTTGCATTCCCATTTTAAGTGTGAGGAAACCAAGGTCGGAAGTAATGTGTGAGTCTTTGTTCTGCCAGCAGAACTGTTGGATGGCAGCCTCACGTTATCTTTTTGCATCTTTATACAGGAGGTGGCCTGTTGAGAGCCACCTGTCTGGCTTTCCTCTGCCACTCCGGGGCTGAGCCTCTCGATTGCAGGTCCTAGTCAGCCCTTGGCTGTTGTTCCAGGTGATTTCTTCAGCTGAAGTTCACTGCCAGCAGTCAGTCTTCCCTCGGGCATCAGTGCCTCTCCCTTTCCGTCCTTCTGGCCCAGCCCAGACAGGGGCAAGGGAAACCGTGTGTCTGGGCTTTGTCCAGGCATAGCCACTCCAGTCTGCTCAGTGACTCACTGCTTAGAGCCCATGGCAGCCACGTCCAGGAGCGCTTTCCATCCTTCTTCCACCTTAGCCTGCTCAGGGCTGCAGTCCACAGGAAAGGAGGGACTCCTGGGCTCACTCTGTCCTCGAAGTGGCCACACAGAAAGGATCAAGACAATGCATCTAAAGAGGAACTGCTTGGGGTAGAAGACTGTCAGCAGGACCTTAACAGAAAAGCCAACACGCATGATGAGTGTATCAAGACCAACGCAGACTCCCCCTGCTGAGGCCTAAGGTGCTGAGCTGGCAGGAGCTGGTGTCATCTGCCAGGTGCTACATAACCTGCAGCTGGGGAACCACATCTGGTGGCATGCCTCACCTGCGGCCCCACTGCGCATGGTCCTGACCACGCTCAGAAATTCCTCGACCAAGCCTGGCTCTGCCCTGAGCTGCTGGGTGACCTTGGCACGGTTCCTGACACTCAGACATTCCACCCACCTTTTCACTGGAGGGGGAAGGGACTTCAAACAATAGAAATGTACTCTCACAGTTCTAGAGGCCAGAGTCAAGTCAAGGTGTCAGCAGAGTGGGTCCTTCTGGCCATTCTGAGGGAGGATCCGTTCCAGGCTCCTCTCCAGCTTCTGGTGGCTGCCAGTGATCCTTGGGGCTTCCTGGGTTTCTTTGCTGGAAGCTCACAGGTGGTGTGCACAGGCCCCAGAGCCCACCAGACCCTCGTGGGATCCCGGGCACGGCGCCTCCCAAGGCATCAGACCCTAATCTTGTTCTCCACTTTCTCAAGATCCCCACTTAGTTCTAAACTGTCCGGACATAGTTGTGGTCACTTGATGTGTCCCTGTTGAGCCAACATCTCTCCCTTCATGAGGTGAGATCCAGTTTGGGAGGGATGCCTCCCCAGTGCCACATGCAAGACAAACTCTTTGGGGTCTGGGGTGCCTCCACCCCTTCCCTACTGCCCAGCAGCTGTGCCAAGAGATGCTGGGAGATGGAGAAGGGTCAGGTTGGGCAGTGTGTCAACCTCTCTGTGTGTTAGCCTCCCTCTGCCTGCATTCCTGGCACCTCAGGGGTTAATGGCTTAATGTAGAGAAGCTCAGAGCGAGTCCATGCACCCCAGTGCCCCCACCTCAAGGTGCCCTGGTGACTCATGAGGCTCACATACCTTGATGACCCGGCCCTGGAAGATGCTCTTGTCCAGCCCCACAGCAGCCTGGGCTGAGCTCTCAGTAGCAAACTCGATGTAGGCATAGCTGGGGTGAAATGAGGGCTGGTGAGGGCCAGCCTGGGCCACCCATGCCGGGCAGTTCCCTGGGGTGCCCAGCCCCCTCCTCACAGCCCTGTACCGACCCTTTGGGGTGTCCAGAAAACTTGTTGCACAGGATGGTGACCTGCTGGACCTCTCCACAGATGTTGAAGTAGGCCTCCAGCTCCCCAGCAATGACCCCATAGTCCACCTGACACAGGCACGGCCTGGTGAGGGCGCTGTTGCAGAGGCCTCCCCCTCGGGGGTCTCCCCCCTGAGACTCCCCCTTCTGGCCCCCCTGCAGCATGTTTTCTTGATAGAGAGGGGTTGACTGGAGCCCAGGGTGGGGGAGTTGGCCCAGGCCTCTGCCCCCACCCCTGTTGGAGGTGAACTGGGGAACGAGATGAACACCCTCATGTGTTAGGCAACACCCCCATGTTTATTTGGCCTGTGCAGAGTGTATGGCTTTATAAAGTGGAGTTTGCTGCCAAAGATTGGCCAACTGGGAGATTTCATGTGGAAATCCTGACTCCCGCTCACGCTGGAGAATCAGAACACTCGACCACACAGGCCCACAGGCCCTTCCCACCTCTTTAGACCCACCACCCTCTAGTTTTTTCCCTCAGGCTTGTGTGGCTTTGAGTTTGCCCCCATACATGTCCCTTATTTTTTTTAAAATATGTTTTTATTGATTTTAGAGAGAGGAAGGGAGAGAATAGAAACATCGATGAGAGAAACATCATCAGTTGGCTGCCTCCTGCACGCCCCCTACTGGGGATCAAGCCTGCAATCCGGGCATGTGCCCTGACCAGAAATGGAACCTCTTGGTGCATGGGTCGGTGTTCAACCACTGAGCCACACCGGCTGGGCCGGGTCCCTTCCTTTAATCCTCACAGTCAGGAGGAAGAAGCAGACCGAAGTGGCCCCTGAAAAGACCCCATCTCACTGCCCTTCTCCCTCACGTTGCCCACATAGATGGGTCTGTGGTCCATTCCCACCTTCTCAGGGACCCCAGAGCAGGGCAGGGGTGGGCCGGGCTCTGGGCAGCTGCTAAGGGCAGACACCTCATGTTTATGGCTCACTTCTCACTCCTGGGGAGAGGGCCCCCTAGGCCTGTTCTAGAAGGACTCTGTCATCTGCTGGGCCAACACTCCTGTGAGCCGGCCCTTTCTCGGCAGCAGCTCACAGCCCACATGGTTTACAGAGGACGAAGGGGGCTCAGAGCTGCAAGCCCAAGGACTCGGGGACCTGCCCACCCACCCAGGGAAGGGGTCCGCCGGGCCTGCTGGCTCCTACCTGTCTCAGGACTCAGTCGCTGCTGGGCCAGCACAGACCTAGCTGCCTCCTCTTTTCCGGCCTGGCCCTGCACCCTGGGCAGCTCTGGCCCCTGGGCCTGCTCCATGGCCCACAGCTTCAGTTTGATGGCCTCCAGCTCCTGCTAGCATATAGCCCAGGCTGAGCCCCAAGGCAGGGCACCCCAGGCTCCTCTTGAGGGAGGGCAGAGGGAGGCAGGCCTGACCCCAGTGGTCCTCAGGGTTGGTGACCCATCAGGAACATGCTGGGGGCTTCTCCAAGTGGAATGGGAAGGCCATGTGGACTTGGGCCACAGAGAAGCTCCTGTAATCCTCCCCCAACAGACAAAGGCCCCTTCAGGCCAGACAGGTTGCCCTGCTCCCTCCAGCCTGTGCAGGAATGGGCATCCCCATTACCCTCTTCCAGGCAAGGGACAGTGGCTCTCACCCCCGAGGTCAGAGCTGCGGTAGTTCATCTCTTGCCCCCACCACCTGCCCCCATACACAGGGTGCCCAAGGTCCCCGGCCAGCCTCCACCTGATGCTCCAGGCAGCTGTGCTCCATGAAGCTGTTACCTGGTCCGGTACTGAGTACTCATCCAGGTCCTCAGACAGGTCCTCCCTGTCCAATAGAAACGGGGGAAGCCTGTATCTTCCTCATCGTCCTCCACTTTCCCACCCTCTGGCTTCAGAGGGGTCTTCTCGGTCCAGCTCCAGACCCCCCAGACTTGGGCCTCGGGGTCCGAGGAAACCCTCTGGAGCCAGGTCTTGGTGGGGGTGGAAAGAGCATGTCTACAGAAAGGCCTGATGGGTGAGGATGAAGTGAAGGGCAGGCCAGGCAAGGCCTCCAATGCTCACTTCCACACCAGCACCTACCAGCGTCTCGTTGGGTTTTAGGTCCCTCCAGGCCAGCTGCTCCCACTAAGCACTTAAAAGGCCTCCAGCTGCAGCCAAGTGCCAGCCTGGCTTCTGGGCCCTGAGGAGTCAAAGGCCATGGACACCAGCCCGCCTGCTTCTTACTCACTGGGCAGGCATCTCTAGGACTCTCTGGCTGGAGAGAGGAGTGTAGCTGAGGCGGAGTCCAGGGGAGCCTCCCCTATGTCAGCTCAGCCAGGCTTCAAGGCCTGAGGCACAGGCAATGACAACCCAGGAAGCTTACTGGAGTCGCCAGTCCACATACCTTGATCAGTGTTATACTTCCAGTGGTAGGCCCTGTTATGACACAGACATGAACAAATTATCCGAGTGCACAGAAGGAGGAAGGATGGTATAGGGTTCAGAGCAACCTTCCTGGAGGAGGTGGCATTTGAGCCAGATTTGATGGACTGGATCAGGGAGAGCTGGGGCCAAGGACGGCCTGGGCAGAGGGAACAGCTTGAGCAAAAGCCTGGAGAGGTGAGGACAGGTGGTTGCCCAGGGTCTACCTCTGTCCCTTTTCACTGATCCATCCATCCATCCATCCAATCCCCATGGGCCCTCCCTTCCCCCACTCCAGTTCTGGACCAGCTTTTAGGTAGGAGCTACGTAAAACAAAGCCAGAATCCTGCTCTGGCTACAGGACACAATGGTTGAATTATGTGCAGATCAGGCAGTGGATCTTGGGCACCTGAAGGCAATTTATAAAGCTTGCTTCTTCCGCCTCTACCGCTCCTCACTGCTGCCCGTGGAGGGCAGCTGCAGGCCATGTCCCTGTGTGCCCTGGTCTCCTCCATCTGTCCTCGCCTGGCTCAGCGTTGGTGGAGCTACTGTTGTGGCTTTTCTGTCCTCCTGACATTTTTATGGGAGGCCCTTCTAGTGTGTTTGCCTACCCCAGGGCATAACTGGTAGGTCCAAGTTTGGCTAATTGGGGTCTCCTCCCTGGGAATTTGGAATTGGGGGGAGAGTTGCAGGCCACAGTAGACCTGGACTGTGAGCTTGGAGCTGGAGTAGCATTCCTCCCCCAGGGTGTGGGGGGCGGTGGGAGCTGCAGGTGTGAGGGGATGAGGCATTGTCCTGGAAGTGGGGACACTTGTGGCTCCCGCCCCAGCCCTGGGAAGCATGGGCCCCTGCCTCTTTGTCTGACTTCCCCTTCCCTTTACCCGGTTCTGTTCTCACCGCCATTGAGGCTGAGCTGAAAACTGCATGGTGTCCCCTTGGTCCCCGAAGAAGGTGGTCTCCAGGCAGATTCTCCTGGCCCCAGGCTGTGGTCCTGTATGTGCTGGCCTCCCAGCTCAAATGCAGGTCCTTGACTCTCCCCTTTTTCCGTCTCCACATTTACATGTGCACGACTCTAGGGGGCACTATTGCCACTGTACTACTTCCAGGGAGCCTCCCTGATTGTCCCTCCTCCTTGTGGCCACTGTGCCTGGGCCTCGCCTGCTGTCTGTCCCGTATAAATGACACATGCCCAGGTCTCTCCTGACAGGCAGTGTCCACTGCCTCCTCAAGGCAGTGTCCAAGTCTGCACTGAGGACAGGACTGGCTGGACAGGGATGGAAGTGCAGCCACAGCCTGTCTTTCTTCCCTAACACAAGGCAGTTGGTCCCCTCACTCCTGTGGGTCTAAGACCCCATGGAGGGCCTCTGGTCAGGGCCCTTCCCTCTACCTCCACGTGGGAGGCAGGACATCGCGGTGCTGTGTCCAAGCCCAGAGCCGCTGGACTCAGGCCCAGGCCCGGTAGCCTCCCTCTGAGCTCAGCCTCTGCAATGGAAAAACGTTGTCATCCCCCTCTATGCTGAGATTGCTGACACACCAGGCCCAGCTGGGGCTCCCGCCAGCCGCCTGGCGTGGGGACAGCCTCGCCTCCACACTGGCCTTTCCAATGATGCCTTTCAAAATACACCATGTTCCAAACCTGGGCCCGAGTATTAATAACATCCCTCCCCCAGGGGCTGCCTGTGAACCAGGAGTGCTGAGTACTGGGCGCCCGGGTCTGGATGGGACCTGCCCCAGGAACGGGGGCACCACGGCTGACACTCTGGCTCCTTAGGATCAAGGTGTCCCTTCCCTTCGTGTCCATGTTCAGGGTCTTATGGGAGGTGCCTGGCACTGCCACAGGCAGTGGGGCTCGGGGCCCTAGAAGCCATGGGTGTCATTTGGGGTCCAAGGTCATCCAGATCACCTTGAGGAAGCAACCTTTGAAAGTTCACCATACAGGAGGCTGGGGGTGGACTGAACAGGGGTCTGCCCGCGTCCCATACACACTCCAACGTACGTCAGACGGTTGTTCACTTGCTTGGGCAGGACCTTGTCTCTCTTGCTTGGAACCTAGAAAGCCCCCAACACATTTGGTGAATAATGTGTGAAACAGGACAGCCCAAGTCGCCGTGAACTCAAGGAGAGGCAGAGCCGTGATGGCAAATGTTGGCTTTATTACACGACACAGAGGTAACTGACGTGACCTGAATTATAATGTCTTACAGTGTCCAGGTCAAACAGAGTACATCAGAGGACACGCGACAGGGACGGCATGCCACGGATCCTACACAGCGCAAGGAAAACCCGTTACAGGAGAACGACCCAACACTCACTGTCCAACTCCTTTTGGGGAATTTAAAAAATAAAAAGAGAAGAAAGAGGAAGTGGAAAATCAATGTGTTCCCCATGAGGTTGTGTGAGGCTGTGCCCTAGTCCCATTTCCACGCCCAAACCCCTCGGCCTGCGAAGGATGCAGTGGGTGAGCCAACAGCTGGCCTGGCTGGGCCCTGTTCAAGTTGGGAGCAAGGGCACCCAGTGCCTTCATTCTAATATTTAAAAACCAGGCCCCAGTTTGAGTCCTAACATTGCATTACTGCTACAAGGGGACTGTGGGGTGGCACTCCAGGGGCCAGCCAAATTGAAACAAAAGGAACAGAAGCATGCAAGATAGTGTTTTCTGGAACTTTGGGGGCCCATTATAGGTTGCTGTCACAGGCATCCAGCTCCCCCAGGCCTTATCCACGAGGTGTCCAGAGAGCAGACAGGTCCTCAGAGTCCAGCTCCTGCACCCCCTCTGCTTTCCTGCTCTCCCTCCTCTCCTGCCATCGGAGCCATAATCCAGGACCTTGATCACAGCCCCATTTTTGGAAACTGCTCCATGTGGCATGGGGGCCTGTGGAAATGGGCTGATGGGGAGAGCTGGGCAGGGGGCCCCTACTGGGCCTCTAGGTTCCCAGGCACACCTACCACCATCAGACAAATTCAGCCTGGGCAGGGCCTGTTCCTGCATCATTCAGAGCTCCGAAGAGCTAAATTCCAGCTGTCCAGGACCCCAGCATGGAAGATGGGAATGGGAGTGGGACAGTGTGACCATGAGCACCTCGGGAGAAGAGGGGCTCCAGGAGCTGGTGTCTGGAGGGAGGTCAGCGTTGGGTTCTTTCTTCCCCTCCTTTCCTTGGGACAGTGACCCCTAGAGACATTGTAGACCAGGCTACAATGTCAGGGTGTAGCCCAGGCTACAATGCCAGGGTTTTGCCAGGTAATGTGCTCACACTGACTGGTGGCTCTGGTCACAGGGTCCCTGAGCAGGTATATGGGCGACTTCCCAACTCACACTCCTGGCCCATGGCCACCACCATTTCCAGGTGGGCCCAGACTGGCCAGAGATATTGCTAGGACATTGGTCCAATCTGCCCGTAATGCCTGTCACAGAACCTTATCTGTCTCTGGAGCAGGTCTGGACCTCCCCACAGATGTGAGAAAGCTCAGGTCATGGGAGGAGGATCTAAAGCACCCTCAAGCTTTGGAACATGAAGGGGGTTGGTGGTGCTACTAATGGGTTCAGTGGCTGCAGAGGTGGATGGATTGAGATATGGTTGTATGGGTTAGATTGGAGGAGAGGTGGATAGAAACATGCATAGGGATGAATGGTGGAGAGACAAGCGGATGGGTAAAAGGATGAATGGGGGAGCATGGGATCAAGTGATGGTTGGGATATAGTAATGGATGGATAGATGGATGGATGAGTAGATGGATGGATGAATGGATGGATGAATGGATAGATGGATGGGTGGTCATATGAATAGATGGGTGAGTCAGTGGGTGGATGGGTGAATGGATAGCCAGACACATGACTGGACTGGACAAAAGGATGAATTGATGAAAAGAGAGAATCAATAAATAACTGTCGATGGGCTGAGGGGATGGGCAGAATGATGGCTGGACATGAAAGCTAGAGTGGGCTGGGATAGGCAAGATGGGTAGACGACAGAGACAAGGCTTTGGTGTCATTTTGAGGATATATTTGGAAAAACTGGCAAACAGGAGAAAGTTAGGGCGTGAGCCGATCCCTCGCCACCATGTCGCTGGGATAAAACCAAAACCAACACCTTCCTGCCCCTTTCCTGCCCATCTCCCTCTTCCATTGAACCTCCTGGGGCCTTGATGAGTGACCCCATTTGCCAAGCCCACAGGAGAGGCGCTCCTGGGAGGCTGCTTCTCTTGTCCCACAGCTCTAACCCTCCCGGGCCCCCGAGGCTCCAGCTTTTCTCTTTGCCCCCGGTCCTGGCTTCCCTGTGTCCTGGTGAGCTGGGGATGGAGCCCTCCCTATTCAGAGGAGCTCTGGGGTATGCCAGCCTGTCCATGCATGTAATGGGAGGCACTGGTCTTTGCCAACAGAATACCCCTCAGACACCACCTGGGATGGTGACACATCCTAAGAGAAAGACCAGCCTGGGTCCAGGACAGGATGGACAATAGGAGATGAGAGGAGGGGATGGAAATGTTGAGGGTCACACACCAGGGTACTTTCCACACAGGGTGAAGGAGAGGGGCCCGGTGTGGGCACACATCCTGCTGTCCCTCGCCTGTGGGCTGTGGGCTCTGGCTGCCGCCTTCCTGTCATAGTTTTGGCCTCAGGAGGTAAAGCTGCCATTTTGGTTTGGAGGGAAGGAGGCTCTCCGAGAGCTGCACCTCACCGAGTTTTGGGTCACCTGAGTGGTGGTGGCCTGCGGAGAGGAGACCCTGGCAGCCACACCCCTGGTCAAAGCTCAGGAGGTACCAGGGCAGAACAGCCCCTGGGCAGACAGCAGGAGGCTAGATCCCCTCGTTGCACAAGAAAGGCAGTGCTCCAGGTGCAGACAGGTGCTGCGTGGACACTCATGTTTAGCGCCTCTAGTCCAAGTCCTAATGCAAAAGCTCTGGCCCCTCCACCCCAAGCTATTGATGTCATATTTGGTTGTGAGGTCTTTGGCCACACGGGGCCTAAGCACAGCGATAGACAGACACGCCAGCTCTCTGAGCATGGAAGGGAGCGCCAGCACCTTCCTCACACTCCCTGGGCAGGAGGAGTGGGAGGAGCTGCCTACTGGGCTGACACAGCCGTTGCCAGCTCAGCACCCTCCCGCCCACTCTGGGCCTGGCTTCCTCACGGCAACCCCCGCCCCACCTTGCTGCCATCCCCTGATCCTGAGGATGCTCTAGGCCCGCAGGGGCTCTGCCCTGGGCCTATGGCCAGCCGCTCATGCTAGGTTTCTGCAGCCCCGCCAGGGGTGGCTTCTTGGAATATGGGATCTGGATGTGAGAACCACACCAGGAAACCTTTTGTAGATGGCCTGAGGGCACCCTCCTCCCGCTCGCTGGGCTGGGAGGGGCTGTCCCTCCTCAGGCCCTCAGCCCGGGGTTCAGACCTGGAGGTTGGTCTGACCTGGACGTTGCCAGCTGACCAACATGCCAGTGTCCCTGGCAAACCTGCTTGTCCCCAAAGGGGGCCATGCAAGGGGAAGGGAGACAGAGGCCTTCTAGGCAAACCTGCGGGTCTCCAGGTGAGGGGCTTCTCCATCAGACCATCAGCCTCACCCCCAAGTCCAGACGGCAGGGGTGTGAGTGATGAGGGGCCTTCGCCCTCTTCCACCAGACCCCCAGCGTGCCCAGGCCAGACACCCTCCAGACACCCCGTTTAGCAGCAAACCTTGTGGGAACAGAGTCCAGAGCGCCCACCTCCAAGGGGAGCAAACCCATGTCACTGCACATGCGCAGCCGCCGTTTTAATAGACGCGACACTCAGGAGAGAGAAGGGCGGCAGGCTGGGAACACGACAGCAGCCTTCGCTGTCTTGAGAGCCCCAATCCCAAACTGGTCCTTGCTTTCCTGACATCCACGAAAGCAAACCTCTGAGAGCGTGACAGACCCACTCACCAGGCCTCGGAGATGGTGGCTGGGACGGGGCGCTTTCTGGAGGATAAAGAGATCTACCTTGGAATTAGGTCTATTTCAGAATTAGGTTTTCACCGTCAGGTGTTGTTCGGGGTGGCACCTGGTCTGTGACAACCAGATGAAATCCATCTTTTCAATACTCAAAGAGTGAATTCTTACAACTCTGGAAAAGAGATAACAATAATCAAACCAACCCATTGCTCCCCGTAGAACCACAGTTCAGATTTCTTTGAAAATCGATTTCCTACACTTGACATACTTCTGCAGTTTCTCTTAATTTTTTTTTATTTGGCAAACATCTCTTCTTTATTATCATCATGAATATCATTATTTGGACCTCTGCAAGGACTATATACATTCACATTAACGTACACTATTGACTTCTTGCCTCTTGGTGGGGCCCCCCAGGAACCCCGGATTCAGTAGCTGGTCACTCTCTGTATTGCACTCCAGTCCTGGGAACTTCTCACAGCGATGCAAGAAAATGCCAGATCACGGACCATGCTGCTGTTTGTTCTCCACTGAGCACAGGTGAGAATTCCTTACTCCTTTACTTCCTCCTTGAGATCGCTTGGGGGAGTTGAGTGGGGAAGGGAGGACAGGGCTGGAGTGAGGGGACATCCCCACTGATGATCAGCTGGACAGAAATGTGAGGTTATACACAGCCGACTAAGTCTCCCGAAGGCGTGGAGAGGGCAGACTGTTCTTGTTTGGAGTTTTTTTTTTTTTTTTCCTTCTTTTTTTTTTTCTGTAAAAATGTGAAGAAAGAAGAACAGGTTCAGGGGACACCGGTGGAGGGTGGCGATGGGGCAAAGACGAGTTGGGTGGGGCAGCACTGAGGAGGGGAGAAGAGGTAGAGGAGGAAAAACGGAGAAGCAGTCGTTATTGGCGCAGTTGCTGTCTCCTCGTGCTTTGAAAAGCACCCAAGAATCAACCCGAAAGATTGTCACAGTTTTGTTTCAGAATTATGCTCTCTCTGGGAAGGACACGTTAGCACTTTTTTTCACAAGTGGAAGAAATGAAATGTGATGAAAATTCACAGAGGGCGTGAGGACAGATGGAGGCATCTTCCCCTGCACACGTGTAGTGCCTGGCCAGGCATGCCCCGTGTGCACACGCAGACACACGCACGGCGGGTGGGGTGCTGAGGGCTCGAGACCCACCGCCCTGTGCCCAGCAAAGGCGTTGCCGTCTAGTCAAAAAGAAACAAAAGTCGCTTCTTGTGGGGCAAAACCCTCCAAACCCCAATATCCCAAACTCTAAAAACCGAATAAAAAGAAAAGACCAACATCTGTACAAACCCAAGAGTGGAGTAAAACAGTGAAAAAATACTTTGGCAGTGACAGATTTTGGATTTTGACTTCTTGTGTTTGCTTTTTGGATTTCCTTTGGAGCAGAGGTGTGTGCGGCATCCTTGGCTGGCTAGCTGGCAAGGTAGTTTACAGGTATGCTTCCTTTACTTTTTTAAAAAACTTTTTGGATTACTACTTAAAGCCAAAGAGTTTGACATTAAAGGAAAAAAAAAAAAATCTGAAACCAAAAATGCTTCTGGGGTCAGAAACTGAAGTCTTTCTTACTGTCTCCACCGAATCAGCCACATACCCTTGGGGTAGTTTCGGTGACGCAGAGGCTCAGATCTCCGGCTATAAAATAACAGTTTTCTTTTTCCCTTTTTAATTAGGAAGGGGGGAACCCCCACAGTTTTCTTAGTCCATTTCTGAGTGGCTCTTTTGCCATAAAAATCCCCCAAAATTCTTCACTGAAAATATAAGCCACCAAACAACTAGTTTTTTTTTTTTCATTAAAGAGAAAGTGTGTGAAAGTCATAAAGACAGGGGGAAAAAAAAGGAGGGGGAGCGGGAGAAGGAGAGGTAGAGAGAGGGAGCGGGAGGGAGCGGGAGGGAAGGGCAGTGGACGAGCTGGCGGAGCTCCAGCAGGTCCCTCCGTGGTCTAAAGCCGGGGGGAGGGTCTGAGGATGCTTGAAGAGGTTGTCGCGTGAGATCGTCAGGTAGCTGAGGAAGTTGCGTTGAATGCATTTTTTGTTGGTTCTGTGTTTTCTTTTGGAGAGAAGCAGTAGCAGCAGTGACTCCAATGGTCGGGCTCCCAGGGCCGGGCGGAGTGTCCGGCAGCTGGGGCTCGGCGGGGTTGGTGGGCGCATGTCCGTGGGCCGAGCAGCAGGTGTAGGAGGGGTCAGCGGGGTGCGGCGTCCAGCGGGCCAGGGGAGCCAGGGCGAGAGGGCCCCGTGGAGCCAGCTTCACTGGGGCTGGCAGCACCCGTGGGCAGGCAGGGGCCCAGGCTGGTGG